AACACCGAGCCCCCCCCCCCCCCCCCCTTGCGTATTCTTGAAAATATGGGAAGCCACCATCATCCACCTGGCTTCCTGCCCTCTGGGATGATGGAGAACAGATCCTGCCCCTCCCTGGAGGAGAACCTTTCCAGTATTTTAAGAGTTATATCTCCTATTATCTCCCCTCCCCGTCTTCTTTTCTCAAGGCTTAAAATTGCCCAGTTCTTTCCATCTTTCCTCCTTATGTAGGGCTCAGTTTGCAGCCCCCCTGATCATTCTGGTGACCCTCCTCTGGACTGGCTCCCGTTTGTCATCATCCTTCTTGAACGGCAACGTCCAGAACTGGACACAAGAAACCCCCTCCCCCCCGAGGAGGCCTCACCCAGGCCAAACTGAGGAGACCTTGTGGGATTTGGAGACTAGACTTCTGGCCCTTGGAACGGTTGCAGATCTAAAATTGAATAGGAGCCCGCAGTGTAATGTAGCTGCAAAAAAGACCAAGGCGATTTTAGGATGCATTAATGCCTCTTAAAATCGCCTTGGCCTTTTTTGCAGCTCGGTTGCAACCGTGGGCTCCTGTTCAATTTGAGATCTGCAGCCTTTCCAAGGACGTGAGCCACCGTGCGGTCCCTCTCCCTGCTGGTTCGTTGGCACCGTGGATCAGTTTATCCCAGAACAGAATCGTGATGCTGGAAGGGGACCCCTAAGGCCATCCAGTCCAACCCCCCTGCTCAAGGCAGGAATCCCAAGTCGAAGCGGATCTGACTGGCAGTGGATTTTTTAGCCCACCCGCCCCGTGCAAGTACGAGCCACCTTCCCACGGAACCGGGAAGCCCTGATGCCAGCTGAGAAATTCGAAAGCCACCCGACGCACCAAAAAATCCAGTTTTTCTCCTCCTCTTGGAGGAGATTCTTGGAGACCAGGGGAGGTACCGCTATTGGGAGCCGCGGCCCCGAAGCCTCTAATTGCCCCGGATTTAAGAGCAAGAAACCCGAAGATCTCTTCCGAGCAAGACAAGGGGACCTCTGAGCATATCTGAATGGCACATCCTGAAGTTGCCAAAGTGATTTCCCCCAAATGTTGGATCTTGGCCAGATTGTCACTACCTTCTGCTTTTAGATTTCAGGTCCTCCGCCCGAAGGAGGGCCGTCCGCCCCAAACGTTTGGGTTTGAGTGCCGAAACCTGAGACGAAGCCCCATGGACGGGAGGGGAGGGCTGTAGTCGGTTGACCCCGATTTCATGGGGCGGTGAATCCGCTTTGGGTTTTACTCCGATCTTTAAAGGGGTTGTCCTTGCTGCTGAAACCGTGGAGGGAGGCACCTTCGGGTCCAGCAGCTCGGGAACGCGCCTAAGAAGTTCGGATTAAAACCCGGCACAGATTCGCCGCCACCTCGGTTGACACCGGGAGTCAAACTGCTTCCACAATGTCCAGCATTGGGCTGTCATTGCAAATATATATAGATACCCAAGCTAGCTGGAGTTCCAGGCTGCTTTTATTCCCCCCCTCCCCAAAAAAAGTAACTTCGAGAAGCTCTGAAGCCACGGGCGCATGCGTTGCTGTGCTTTCATGGCCACTGACCTAAAAGGGAGCAGGGATGGTCACTCTTCACTTTTTCATAGCTCTATAATCCAGGCTCCTCCCCTGAAAGGGGAAGACAACGGCGCTCTGAGGCGCGCTTTTATGACGTCACGCCCTCGCTCCCTGAAGCCGCGGGCACTCCCTGTTCCGAGGGGCCGGGGCGCGCGTGTAACTTTTCTAAGGCATTCTGCTTTTCATTAGGTATTGTCAGCCAGCCAGTTCCTGGCCTTAACTTCCTTTTGAAAGACATCAGTGTTCTCTGGCTACTGAGTAGGCATAGCTTTCAGTGGGCTTTTGGGGGGACTTTCTATTCCCATAAGTTTCCCCTTTCTAATTTCTTAATACTACTAACGTTATATTTTTGCTTCCCAAGCTTGCTGATACTTCCTTTTGGTATAAGGATGGTGCTGTGTTTCCATTGTAACTCTGGATAGGGGCAATAATATTGCCATTAAATTGTTTTCCCTTTGGTAGCTAGAAAAACATCTTGAGAGATGGGGACCAGATGCAAGTTCCCACCCACCCCCAAAAGCTGCAAAACAGATTATATAATACTATTCCTAATGTATGCTATACATAGTGTGGCCTCTGGCGCCCTCTAGTGGCCAGTTCTGGTATCTGGTGGCCTCAACAGGTCTGTATCCTTCAGGTTAAAGCTGGAAGAAGCCAAAGAAGTGCAGAGTCTAAGGAAAAGAGCCAACGGAGTGAGGTAAGGGGGGAGGTTTCTTCCACGGTGGAACGTCATGGCATCATGGGAGTTGTTGTCCGAGAACCTCTTTCTCTGCCTTGTTTGCATCCATACCCCCCGGGGGGGTGTCTTTCGTGCTGGGAATAAAATGGTATCAAAAAAAGGGGAGAAATCTAATATTGGACGATGCCGAGACCGCCATTTGTTGTCAAGCTGGGGATAAACTGGGAATTCTTCCTTCCTCTCTTGAAACCCCCCCCCTTTTGTGTGTCTTTTTTTTCCCCAAGTGCTGCCGCCCTGCTGGTGGGGGAGAAGTTACAAGAGGAGGCCACCTTGGCGGTAAGATCAACGAGCAAAGAATCCATCATATAATACAAGCCTAGAACGGCAGAGGTGGGGGGAAAGGGGACCTCGGGGGGTCATCCAGTCCAGCCCTTGTCAAGCAGACCAATCAGGGACCACATTAAAGCAAATATGTAGTCTTTCTAAATGTTTCCCTTCCCTGCCAGGACGACCCTTTCAAGATCAAGCCTGGCGCCATCATCATCGTAATGATAATAATGGGACCCTGCATAAGTCCATTAGAAAAACCTCTGCACACAGAAAGCTAGCATTTGAGGGGAAACGTCCGGGCGGTTCTTCCTCAAACTTGCATTTTCTGCTTCTGTCTCCGTGAAAGGATCAACGAAGAGGAGGACCTCAATTTGGGGACGTCTTTTTCCGCCGAGACAAACCGGAGGGATGAAGATGCCGACATGTAAGTGGTTTTGCAACATTTTGTGTGGATTTTGCCACGCGGAGGGGCGCCCACGATGGCCTCTTTCTCAGAATCGTTCTAATGGCACAGTGGGTTATCGATGACGTTAGTTACTTTCCATTTTTCTTTTTTAAAAAAAGGAAAAGAAAGCAATAAGAGAGGCTCAATACGTGGGTTTTACTGTATTATCAAAATGAGAAGAACGTCAGCGTAATGACGTTTCCTGGAAGTTTGTCCTGACTGTCCAAGGAACAATGGTATGGCTGTTCTAAGACGATGAAATGAGCCAGCTGACCCTGAAGGGAAAAGAGGAAGAATTAAGCTTCCTTTTGCAGGCATTTTAAAAACAGGAGAGCGAGCCTGAAAGAGGAAGCCACAGCTGGCTTGAGGCTTTGCTACGTATTGATCAGTGGTGATAGTGGGGTGTTTCTCTGTCTTCAGGATGAAGTACATAGAAACGGAGCTGAAGAAGCGGAAGGGGATCGTGGAGAGCGAGGAGCAGAAAGTGAAGGCGAAAAACGCCGAGGACTGTCTCTACGAACTTCCCGAGAGCATCCGGGTCTCCTCGGCCAAGAAGACGGAAGAGATGCTCTCCAACCAGATGCTCAGCGGCATTCCCGAGGTGGACCTCGGAATTGAGTAGGTGACCGGAGCAGCTGTCCCCTTTAGTGGCACCACTTCCGTTGGGGTGGGCTCGTCCTGCCTCGCAGGAACGCTGTGAGCCTCGAAGCAGGGAGCTCAGCCAGGTGTGGGCTGCCTTGCTGCGGTTGGACGGCAATGGAGCAAAGCTATCCTGTAATAATGGGGTGAATTTGGGTAGAGGAGGAGAGGACGAGACACCAACGGAAGTGGGAATGCGCGGCGGCTTTCAAGCAAAGCAAAATATGCCACTTAAGGATAATCTCATAGCACTTAACGCTCTCTCTCAGCGGCTTGCGGTGGAATTATGCAGGCTAAACGTTGTCCACTGCCCCCCAAGCAAGCTGGGTCCTTCGTTTACCAACCTCAGGAGGATGGAAGGCTGAGTCAACCTTGAGCCGGCTGCCTCAGCCGATCAGGATCTAACTGACACCCCTGTTGTGCGGTCAGAATTCAACTGCTGGGTGACTTCTTCCTTAATCTAGAATTGTTATTTTTTTTCTGTGTCCAACGGGAAGCATCTCTCTTTCTGTTTTAGAGCCAAGATCAAAAACATCATCTCTACGGAGGAAGCCAAGGCGCGGCTGCTGGCTGAGCAGCAAAATAAAAAGAAGGACAGTGAAACCTCTTTCGTGCCCACTAATATGGCGGTGAACTACGTCCAGCATAATCGATGTAAGTCTCTGTTCTCTGTGTGTCTGTGCGGGCGGCCCAGGGTTAAGGCAGCTTCCGGGGGGGTCTCAAAACTGCTCATGTCCACCCCTCGATATTTGCTCCTGTATGTCCAAAAAATCACCCTTTTCCTGGTTTGAGACAAACCATGGTTTCCTGTTCCCTTAGAATGGGCAAACTGTGGTTTCTACGTTACCATACATATCAGCATTGGAAACCATGATTTGATCACAGTTTGGCGGGTGGGTCCAAACCAGACATTGTTAGTTCAGAAGTCAAATCATGGTTTGGTGTTACATCTGAATCCAATATAGTTGCTTGAGCCCATGTCAGCTTATGTTACATTCTGAATTGGCTCGATGTTCTTTTCCAGTTTATCACGAAGAGCTCAATGCGCCGATCAGAAGGAATAAAGAAGAACCCAAGGCCCGTCCGCTGAGAGTGGGAGATACCGAGAAACCGGAACCAGAAAGTAGGTGCCAGCAAAAGCTACGGGTTATTTCAAGGAGCAGGTCTTTTCTGGGGCTAATGGATCTGAATGACCCCTTCCAGCCAAACATGCCCTCAATTACTTATAACAGGGATGGTTCCTAGTGATATACTGTTGCTAGGATTTGCGGCATACAAGCTGGATGATGAATTCAGGTTCCTAAGCCTTATGGATCTCACATATGCAGCCAAGTTACCCAAACCGGTGTTTGGGTTTCCTGTTGGTTGACTCAGAGATACCACTTTAAAAGAAGATGATCGTGTGCCGGTTTTTAATAGCCACATGTAATTCTTTTAATTACATGTTTCGTCATAAAATAGATGTGGCTGCTAAAATCGTAGTGCGGCGACAGGGTGTGTTAACAGTCATCGTCATCCTCTTAGAACTGCAGAGCTGAAAGAGTCATGCAGTCCAGCCCCTGTGATGGAGGCAGAGCGGGGATTCGAACTCCCAGCGTCTGGCTCCTCAGCCAGAGGCCTAAATAGCCAAAATGGGGTTTGTCAAGGACGAACTGCGGGATAGCTCAGGGGTTGTGGTTGTGGAGCCAGAGGTTGGGAGATCAAATCCCCGCTGGGGGCCTCCTTGGCAAGGGTTGGACTGGATGACCTTATAGGGTCCCTTCCAGCACTGCAGTTCTAAGATGATAATTTTATGCTCAAATAGCACGGGACGTTGGCCCCATATTGCAGGTTCCGGTGATGAAAAGGTATGCTTGCAGCTGGCCTGCGTCAACGCTGGCTGTGGTTTCAAGCTTACCTCTGTCATTCTTTTATGCTTCAACCAAACTCCGATCTCGGCTTCTGTTCGGTTTACAGAGTCTCCCCTGAACCGCAAGCGACCGCCCAACGAGAAGGCCACCGACGACTACCACTACGAGAAGTTCAAGAAGATGAACCGTCGCTACTGAAGCCGAATGATCTGGGTTACGCCAGGGGAAAAAAAACTGTATATTTTTTCTGGCCTCCGTTGGCTGGCAAAAGGGGTGTAAATATGGTGTGAAAATGGAAAAGGGTCCTTTCCTTTGGTGAATCTTCGTGTCGTCTTACGTTTTCTCCCTGAAACGTTGTCCGGAGATCTCTCTGTCGTCCTTTCCCTGTTTCTAATGTATGTTTTTTCAAGTACAGTACAAAGCTTTCTGTTTTAAACAAAACTGGATTGGAGGTCTCTGTGTGTGTGTGTGTGTGTGTGTGTGTGTGTGTGTGTGTGTGTGTGTGTGTGTATTCTCAGAGGTGATGATAATTGCTCGTTAATTGTGCTTAAATCCAATTTTTATTCTTAGGAGTTCAAGGTAGTTGATAGAATCCTCCCTCCACCCTGATTTTCATCATCACAACAAGCCAATGGCTTTCCACTGATGGTCACCTTTTGGAAAGATTCTCCGATGCCTTAAAAAGCAGGCTTCTGTTGAGTAACCTTGTGCTCTTATTTGAATAACATCCGTCCGTCAGTGGCAGTTTTGCTGGAAGCACGCTGGAAGCCAGTTCATCTCGGTTGCCGACGAGCCCTTCTCCTGGGGACTGCCTAGTTTTATTTCTTTATTTATAAATACTTGGGGCAACTTGGTCTTGAATAGGCTATTCAGACCCATTAACCTGACAAAAGACCTGCTCCCGGTAAACAGCCACAATTAGGTTTTTTCAGCAGAGATTCTTGCAGACAGAATGCTGGGAAACGTGACTTAAATGGTTTCAAAGACTCAAGAGAGATGGGGGCAGATCAAGCAGCATGTCTTAGTAATGGCATTCTGAACCTTCATGTGCAGTGACAGTCTACCTTTTGTTCAGTGGAGACCAATTGGTTACAGCACATGGGGTGCTGCCTCAGTGGAGTCTCCTGCTTCTTCCACCCAGTCCACTCTTGCCTGCCTCTTGACCAGAGGCAAAGGGTCACACGATTCTGCTTTGATCCTTTCCTGTGGAACTCCCTGCCTCATGCTCTACACGAGTGTATGTCTTTCTGGCAGTGAGGAGGAGAAGGAAAATGGGAAAACCTCTCAGAATCCTATTGGTTAAATAGCGTAAATGCCCTGGCATCAATCACAGTGCCATGTGTAACAACCCAGTCCCTTTCTCTCCCTGTCACACACCATCTCACACAATGACCGGAGCAAAGGGAGGGGACGTCATTTACTGCTGTAATTTTCGCCATTGCGCAGGCGTTATTAACCAATAGGATTCTGCCCACTGATCACAGACGAATAGGTCAACAGCCCTGCTTTGAAACCAGGCACCGAGAGGACTTAAATCTTAGACCGGCAGAGCTGGACGGGACCCTGTGGATCATCATGAAGTCCGGCCTCTTTCAAGGAAGCCCAGTGGGGGGATTCGATCTCCCAACCTCTGGCGCCACAGCCGGAGACCTCAACCCACTGAGTTCGCCAGCAATTCGAATTTTGCTTTGGCCTGGAGAAGCAAACGCCGGTGGGAATATATGTCTTGTCTTGGGGGCCAGGTGTCGCCTTCTGCTCCCCCAACGGATTGTCTCCCTGCCTTTATGCGCACCTATGCGCGGTCACTTCTGAAGTGGCGTGTGGCTCCCAATTCTCCCCACGAAGGGCTGCCGCGCCATCAGCCGTGGTGAGCCCCAGCCGATGCAACCTTAGGGTGCCGGTAGAGGGGCTCCGAACCTCTCCGTCGTGGGCGCTTGTGAGCCTCTGATCGGCCGCCACGGGAAACGGAGCCACGGACACTTTGGACTTTGAGATTCCCTCCAGGCAAGGCCGTCCAAGCGTGTTTTGTTTGCAAGGGGAACGTCCAGGGTCAGGAACTATGTGACGCTGCATCGCCGTATTGTCTACTTCGCCTCCAGATGACTCGGCCGCGGAGATGCCCCTGCATCGGAACCTGGAAGCGGGAGAGACTTTTAAACTCCCTTAACTCCATGGCTGGCATGGCCCTTCTGCATCGCCGTATTGTCTACTTCGCCTCCGGATGACTCTGCTGCAGAGATGCCCCTGCATTGGAGCCTGGAAGTGGGCGAGACTTTTAAGTTCCCTTAACTCCCCAGCTGGCATGGCCTGGAGCACGCGGGTCAGGGATTCTGGGGTCTGTAGTCCCAAGAAATAAGGCCTGCGCGCTCTGAACGGGATGGAGGTGGCGTGGAAAGAAGGACCGACTGTTGACGTGGGGCCTGGCTTCCCATGTCAATATCACATGCCGGGGAAAAACAGCCCCCAAAACCTGGTGATTCTCTGATTTCAACATGTTATCTTCCTCTCTCTCTCCTTGGACTTAGACCCGCAGTCACAAGGACCAGAAGACTGAAGAGTTGCCAAATTCCTTCCCCAGGGGGGCTCCTCCATCTTGAGCAGAAAAAAAATGATCTGCAGAGAGCCATTCATTCATTGATTGAGTCATTCATTCATTCATTCATTCATTCGATTTATATCCCTTTCTCAGGAGTGCCGAGGCACCGTTCTAGGCGGTTTACAACAAATGTAATGCAAGACAAAGAAATAAAGGTAAAAGCAGTTTGCCAATAACCGTTAAAAACATTTCTGGGACCCTTCGTTGGATTAATAAGCTTGTTCGGGTGATGCCCGAGGTGCCAGAGCACTACAAACAGTGGGGAACATCTCAGCAGTTGCCTTTAAGCTTTGGTGCAAAACCTCATCCATGTTTGCTCCCCAGTCAAGTTTTAGACCAAAGTTGTGAATGGACTCTGTGTGTGTGTGTGTGTGTGTTTGAGTGTGTGTGTGATGTCCAGCGTGCATGCACCTCCCTTACTCCGGGCTCCTCCCCTTCAGCCAAGGGCCCCCGGACTTTATATTTTGGAATTGGCTAGCCAAGACGGATAGTGCCCTTTCCCCCCCTGCTTTGCGAGTGGCACCATTCTGTCGGGAGCTGAGTTCCTCTCGTGCGGGTAAGTCAGATTTTTAAACTTTGCAAGAAAGACGGTGTTCCTTAAAGCAGGAGAAGCTTTTTTCCAGCCCTTCTGTTGCAACTTGGTCTCCGATTACCTTGTTTCTCTCTCTTTTGAGGGGTCTCTACATGGAAAAAGGCTCGAGAAATACCACAGTGTTGGTTTTTTACCACCCTGGAGCAGTGGGTCTCTCGGAAGGAAGTCTTGGTTGGATTATAACTGGATGCGGGCGCTTCCTTCCAAGGATGGGTTATCGGGAGCTGCCTACCTTATAGGTCTGTTGTGCAACAGAGTGAAGGTCTGCAACGGTGGCTGGAATATGTTGCAAAATTATTTACAAAGGACAGGGTATCCGCCGTGCCTCCGCTGGCAGGGGGCAAGACTAGATGACCTTTAAGGTATCTTCTGACCCTATACCATGACAAAAGAGAACGGAAATGCTGCCGATGAAAGTACGTCTCAGCAGCTTTGCCCTCGATTCAGCAACAAAAACTCTCTTTTTTCCCCCTCCAACACTTGTTTGCTCTGCATTCTTTCTGGTGACTGGGTTGAATGCAAATGGGATGGACGGGGAAAAGAGAGAGCGAACGAACTGTTTTTGCTAACTGGGGGGAAAATAGGCTTTTGGGTGTGTTGAAATACACATCAGCTCATGAAAAGCAATTCCCCCCCCCAGCTTAGTAACTCACTATCAGATATAGGAAGCCCATCGTTCCCCCCCCTCAATGCATCAAGTGCTGTTTCATCGCAGAAAATCCCTTTAAAATTATAATTATTTGGGGAAAGCCCTTGGGAAGTTCTCCTGATCTTGTTTTCCAGGGAACATGTTTTTTTTTTCCAAAACTAAGTTTTGCTGTGTGTTTTGCTTATTCTCCTGTTGGGGCCGGAGCGCCGAAATTTTACTAATCATTTTATTGACTACAATGCCCACCATCCCCACCCAGCAGAGATGGGAGTTGTAGTCCAAAAGAGAGAGAGAAATGCTTCTGACCAAAAGTCTGTCGTCTAATCAGCGAGAGGAAAATCCGCCTCGTTCTTCCGTAGAGGACACGGTAGCGGGCTGTGAGAAACCCACCTTATAACTCTTGCAGTCACTTAGCCAGGTTTTAAATCCACTTTAAAGACACTTTAAATTCAGTTTAAAGACATTTTCTTAGCGGACTGAAACATCCCGATCCTAGTGCCAAAAAAAAAAAAAGTTTAATAAACGGATTAAAATGGGTTTAGTGGGCTGGCAAGCCCTTCGGTTTCGTTCTTCGCCCTACTTTTTTCGTCAGGGCGACAACCTCGTGCCAAGGTCTTCCCAAACTGGCTTCGGACCAGATCCTTCTCTCTTCCTCACAAAAGCTGGGAAAACCCAGGAGCCCTGTGTGTCCGGTTTAGAGGCAGCCGAAGTTCATCCTGTTCCCTTGGGATTTCGAAAAACGGAGGCGACCGCAGAGAAATCTGAATAGGGCGGTGGTGGTTTCTACATTGCCCAAACAGAAGCGGTCAAGGGATAATGGACGAAATTTGCATTTGCTGATGAGTTAGGCCTCCTCGGGAGTCCGGTGTCCGGTTCTGGACACTGCACGTGCAGGAGGAGGTCAACAAACTGGATCAAGTTGAGAGGAGGGCCACCAGGAGGATAAAGGGGTGGTGGAAACCGAGCCCTATAAGGAGGAAAGACGGAAAGAACTGGGCAGGTTTGGCCTTGAGAAATAAAGACGGAGGCTATAAGGAGGAAAGACGGAAAAAACTGGGGAGGTTTGGCCTTGAGAAATAAAGATGGAGAGGAGAGCCCTTTTCAAAGACCTGGAAGGTCGTCCTTCAAAGGAAGAGCAGGATCTGTCCTCCATCATCCCAGAATGCAGGACCCATCATCATGGGCTCAAGCGACAGGAAGCCAGATTTAGGCTGAAGATCAAGAAAAACTTCCTAACTGTTAGAGCAGTATGATGATGGGACCCATGACCTCGGGAGGGGGTGAGCGCTCCAGCGCCGGAGGCCTTCAAGAGAAAACGGGACCGCCCTCTGTCCGATCTGCTTGGATTGGGATCCCTGCCTTGAGCAGGGGGTTGGACTGGATGACCTTTGGGGGGCCCCTTCACAACTCCATTATTTTAGGACGCTATGATTTTAAAAAGAAAACCACTAGAGTGCAGCCTGGTGACTCCAGCATCCTTGGGCTGGTCATCCCCTCCGGATTTTGGTCCGAACTCCAGAAGACCTTCCCAAGGCGCTTAAGTTTTATGATCTAAAGGAGCAGCAAGGAAGGGAAAACCCAGGCCAAGTGTGGGAATGGGTGTTTTTAGCAGGAGCCAATGTGAGCCTTCAAGAGCAGGGAGCTCCTTCAAGGAAAGCTCTTCCTTCTTAGAAGAGGAGGGCGCCCCAAATCCTGCACCTGAGTTGCTTTTCCAGCTGCCTGCGTGTCTGCAACCGATGGAGCTACATAAATCACCTTCTGAGATCAGGAGCTTTGGTGGAGCCCAGGTGTCTCTTTCCTCCATCCTGATCTGTATCCTAATCCCTACTGTCTGCAGTAGGACCCCCTTATCCACGGAATCAGTATCCGCTGATTTGCTTATGTTTGGCTTTTGGGCTGCCTGACCTCTTGAAGTCTTCCCGGTTTGTTTTCTGATGGAAACGAGGCCGGTTCGGTTCTGGATGGCTCTTGGACTTTCTCTCTGGGTTTTCCTGCTAGACACGATGTCTGGGAGCAAAGGCGTTGTGGTGCTCGCCTACAGCGGAGGTCTGGACACATCCTGCATCCTGGTTTGGCTGAAGGAACAAGGCTATGAAGTCATTGCTTACATGGTAAGCGGGGTGAAGAAGGATCTCTGAGATGCGGGCTGGGATTTCTGCTTATATTTTAAAGGATCACCCCCAGAGTTTGCCAAACTGCCCCAGCTAGAATTCAGGGGAACGGGAATTTGGAACAAACTGCCTTTGTTTAAGCTTTCCGGTTAGTTGCACGCCGAACGACACCAAACAATGAAGGTCGTTAAGCGCTTTCGGGTCCGCATGCCAACAGCGTCCCTCTTCCTTTGCAAAAATAAATAAATAAATAAATAAATAAATAAATAAATAAATAAATAAATAAATAAATAAATAAATAAATAAATCCCAGAGATAGATTAGAATTTGCTTCGCCCCTTCCCCCCACGCCCCCGTTTGCTCCCCAATTAATTTGAACATTCCTGCGTTGTGTTTTTGTGCGCATCTGCCAGGCGGACATCGGCCAAGAGGAAAACTTCGAGGAAGCACGGATTAAAGCCCTGTCTTTAGGAGCTAAAAAGGTAAAACCTCTTTCGAATGGTAAAATCGACTGGGTTTTCAAATTTGCACGGGCTGGGTTCCCTGGAAAAGACCGTCCTGCTAGGAAAGGCAGGAGGCAGCAGGAAAAGAGGAAGATTAAATACGAGATGAACGGACTCCCTCAAGGAAGCCACAGGCTTGGGTTTGCAAGAGCTGAGCAAGGTGGATAAAGACGGACACGTTGGAGATCTCTCATTCATAGGTTCGCCGTGAGCCGAAGGCGACTTGTCGGCACATCACAACAACAAACATTAGATTTATTCTCTCTCTCTTTTTTTGCTTCCGTTGATCCCTTGTCGTTCCTCATCTTTGCTCCTATCGATTTCTTTCAGGTTTACATCGAAGACGTCCGGCGAGAGTTTGTGGAAGAATTTATCTGGCCGGCGGTGCAAGCCAACGCCATCTACGAGGACCGCTACCTCCTCGGGACGTCCTTGGCGAGGCCATGCATCGCTCGGAAGCAGATAGAAATTGCTCAGGAAGCCGGCGCTCAGTACGTCTCCCATGGAGCCACGGGGAAGGTAGGAACCGAGAGAGCCCGGCCTCCGAATGGGGGTGAAGGATCCCACGGGTTAGAGAGATCAAACGACAGTAAGGCCTCCCTATCCGCTGGATCGGTATCCACGAATTTGCTTATCTTCAGTCTGAAAATATTAAAAGAAAATTCCTTGATTTATATATTTTTAAAGATGAGATGACCAGAACTGGCCACGAGAGGGAGCCAGAGGCCACACTATGTATAGCTTTCGCTAATGAAATAGCATTCACTATCATCCGCTGTTTTCAGCATCCACAGGGCAACTTGGAAACGATCCCCCAGGGATACGGGTTCCTCCTGCATTAGATCTGGAGTTCTCAGACGGGCCATCCTTGTTTCTGACTTCAGCAACCCTCCAGGAGGGAAAGAAGCAACTTTGAACCCTTCTAGATTTGTGACCCCTGACATCCTATCTGTTTTCCACCCCGGTTAAAAATTAGCTCTTTTTCAGACAGAGGAGAGAGTCCACTTGTCTTGAAGGTGTTGGCGAAGGTCAACGAGCTCAGCCCAAATTGGACGGGGGCGGCTGCCGAGCTCTGCAAAAGAATGTTTTAATCCATTCATTCCCCTAAACGCGAGAGGTCAAACTCCACCAGCCTAAGAGCCCATGTATCCCACTCCATTAAGAGCCATTAACTCTCTAAAAGACCCGCCCGGTGGAAACAAAAATGGCTAAGTCCCATTTGTGGAATAAGGTGCCTCCTTTGGGAGGGCGTCTCCTGAATCCATGCCACAGAAAGCAAGGTGCTTTCTTAATCTCGATCAGATCCTCTCCATGAACATTTATTTGTTCCCTCCCGTTGCCATTGATGTTGTGGTCCAGAAAGGCGCCCGACGAGGTTCATACCACAAGAGGGTGCCAGCCACCCACGTTTTCCCCGAAAGGCGGCAGGGATCTGTCTCTAAATTCGCTGACTCAGGGTTCTGCGGCCTGATGAGGCAGAATTTGTCCAGCAGAGGGGGGAGAGAGACCAGGAAACGGAGATTCGCTGCTCAACGCTCCTCCATCTGGACTTCGCCGCTTGATCCCACCTTCCTTGCAGCCTTTTTGAGCCCTTTCCCCTGTCCTGATTCCAAGCCAAGAGTCTAGCAATTATCTCAAACAACTTAATGGTCACAATCTTGTCGTTTAGCGCCGTAAACGGCGCCGGAGTAGGCCCATGGCGTCGGTGGGGATTCGGCGAGCCGAGGCCGCTGTGATTTCCAATAATTCAAATGGCCCCAGCCCTTAACAGTGCCTTACTGGGAGAACGTAGGAAATGAGGTCCATTTGAATCAATGAAATTTACAGAAGAGCTGGAGCACTAAATCCCCTTTTGGGTCTACTCTAGTGCAATTTACTATAGCCAGGAACTGGGTTTTGGCCACTGGGTTTTGCTGCGGTTAGTCCGGGTAACCGAATCACTCTCTGGATAATTAAGAATGTTGTGTGTTATGTTTTCTGATAAGGATTTGCTAAAAGCCACCGGATTGGGCTGGCAGAGAAAATGAAGCCGAGAGAGTTGGTCCCCCCCCCTCGGTCCCCCATCATCCTTCCCTCCCTCGAACTCCCTCGGATCAGGCTCTTAGAAGATTCAGAGAACAGAAGTGGCATCGTCTTAAGCCTCCCGAAATCCCAACCTCCTTTGGGGTGAAAAAGCAACACATTCGTTCTTCCACGCAAAATTTCACTTGGCTTGCAAGGACGTGGGTCCAGAGCTACTCACGACGAGCCACCTGGCCCCATAGATCAGACCCAACCCATGGGCTTTGGTGCCCCAATGCGCCATCTGTGGGGCCTCCCCTTTTGCTAGCCGACGGGGTGGTTTGTCGCATGCGAGAGAGAAGAGGGTCTCTTTCGAGCATTTCGGAATTGGCCCCGGGTAGAAATTTGGAATCGTCCGTCTTCTGCTTTCTCGGTGGCTGCCAAGACTAAGGACCAAGAGATGCAAAACTCCCCAACTCTTTCAATGGAAAACAGAAGCTCCCAAATTATTGTCCGTTTCAAAAAGAAGCTCCATTGCGGGAGTTGACGGAACAATAATTTGGAATTTGCTCCCCCTTCTGCTCCCCGAATCTCTGCAAACTTGGGCGTGTAGGAGAGAGAAAGATTCCCGGGATAATGTTCACGGACTAGAATTGGAGGAAGCTGGTGACGGCGTGGCAGGCGGGCATCTGTAGCATGGCTCCGTGCCAGCGCTGGCCTTGGCGATAATGGTAAGCAGATGGGCGAGGGATTACACGCACAGAGAGAAGGTTAATTAGAGAAACACAGCGTCTCGGGAAGACTCAAGCCATTAGCCGCAGCTAGCATTAAAAGACGCGACTTCAGCACAACCCTCTTTCCCCCCCCCCCGTGCGAGCGTGACACGCCCACTGTGCGAGCACGGGGGTGCCCCCCCCAGCTCATGGAACTTGCATCCCCCAGCAGGTCCGCAGCCCCAGAAAGGTTGTGGACCACTGCCCCGTGCAAGCGTGACACACCCACCGTGCGAGCACGGGGGGGCAGCTCATGGAGCTCGCTACCCCCAGCCGGTCCGCAGCCCCAGAAAGGTTGTGGATCACTGCTATAAATACCCTGTTTCCCCCGAAAATAAGACCTAACCTGAAAATAAGCCCTAGTAGGATTTTTCAAGAGGCTCGTCATAGAAGCCCTACCTGTAAAATAAGCCCTAGTTAAGTGAAACCCCGCCCTCCACCCTTGTGCAGCAACCAGAAGATGACATGACTGTGTTTAAATAAATGTAGTTTGGTGTACATGAAAAAAATAAATAAAGCATCCCCTGAAAATAAGCCCTAATGTGTTTTTTAGAGCAAAAATTAATATAAGACCCTGTCTTATTTTCGGGGAAACAGGGTAGCATGATCTCTGCCTCCTTCTAGTGGCCAGTTCTGGTAATGACACTGTAAAAATCAAGTTCTAGCAAATGCTATACATCGCATGGTCTCTGCCTCCCTCTAGTGTTCAGTTCTGGTAATGACATTGTGGAAATCTATTTCTGTAGCAAATACTGTACATAGCATGGTCTCTGCCTCCTTCTAGTGTTCATCATAGCATGGTCTCTGTCTCCCTCTAGTGTTCAGTTCAGGGAGCGTCATTGTTAATGCACACAAATGCACGTATGCACACACATACACACACGTTTTCTTTTAGGAGCGTCATTGTTAATGCACACAAATGCACATATGCACACACATACACACACGTTGTCTTTTAATATTGTCAGACCGTGGATAAGTGAATCAGCGGATATGGATCCCATGGATAAAGGGGGGTCCTACTTCATACCCTTCATCATACGACAGAGAAAAGGAAAATAAGGGAATGTTTTTAATGCTGCATCTTCTCAGATCTCAAGTCCCAGCGATGGAGCTCGAATCCCAAATTTGCACATAACCAAGGATCTGTTTGATCCTTCGTTGACTTAATTGTCCTGCTTTCCCCCACTCCTTTCCAGGGTAACGACCAGGTTCGCTTTGAGCTCACCTACTATGCGCTGTGTCCTCAGATTAAGGTAAGGCGTCCGAAGAGGGAGGGGACCACCAAGTCTTTTTCATTCATGAATTTCCTAGGGATGGCAATATATTTAAAATGAAGTGGCACAAAGTGAATAAAATCAGTGCTTCGACCCTAATTTGGGTCCGAATACTGCAGTCCCAAGCTTCTGAAAGAAAAGAAAAAGATTTGTTTCTTTTGATCAACATTTGACATGTTAATTGAAGCTATAATATTTGTGTGTGTGTGTTTGTGTGTGTATACAATAATATATATAGGCGAAGAGATAATACAAATTTTGGAGAAGGTCTGTTTGAACCGAATTCAGAGTGGATTAAAGGGAACCCTTTAGAACGAAGCCCACAAGAGCTTAGCCTTAATGATGACATTCTGGGATTTTGATGGGGTTTTTCTTAACTTTTAATGGCCCTCCTGTTTTTTTTTAAACCCAAAGCAAGCATCTGGAGAGGTAAATCTACACTCCCACCCATCATACCTTGCCTTCGGCAGGTCGGGCTTCTTGTTAAGTTACAGTAGCAGCTTGCAACTGTCTCATGTTACCTTTGTCGGATGAGATTAACACGGATACTTAACGCTCAGCGCTTCTGGGGACCCCGAAGCCATAAGGCCGGGGTTGACTCCGAGCAGTTGGTTGGGGGGAAACGGTTTTAAAAACAAGGGTGGGTGGGATTTTTTTTTAATTAGAAGACTGCAGTACACACTTATTGAGAAATTCTCCTTTTGCTGCCTGGGCGAATTTCGTTGGAGCACGAATTTTACAAAATTCGTTCTTTTGAAACCAGACGCTCACAGGGCTTACACCTTGTGTTTTTTTTTTAAAAACCCAGATCTTATCTTCTGAAAACATGGGTTGTTTTAAAAACAAGGCAAAACGCCCCTGAATGTCTTGTTTTAAAAGTGAACATACACTATTTTTGCCACGGAGCCGAGGATATCGAATCGAGAGGCAGGAAATGGGCCAAAAGTTTTTTATTTCTTCCTTGCCTGAGTTAAAGTTATGGAATTCTTCTGCGATTATGAGTCTAATACGTGAAGGGTATTAGCAAAAAATATATATAGAAGAATCTTGAACTCAAAACCATGGTTAAAATTGTTCAGACTTATTTTATTCCTCAGTTAATATGTACTCGTTCAGCGTTTCTGTTTGAGAATGGCCAAACAAACAGGTACACATGTATTTTTTTGAAGGAAAATTGTGGGTTTTTCAAATTTTGATTCCCAGAATTTTGGCCAGAGAATGGCAGTTTAAATGAATTTAAAAATGTGGAATGGTGTTTGGAAGACCTTGCTTCTAATCCCTATGGAGGTATCAATCCTACTAGATGAACTTAAACTTGTCAATCTCTCTCGGCTTCACCTACCTCATAAGCTTATTGTGATGACTAAGTGAAGAGAAGGAGAGTCAGAGAACTTCGGACATATCAATCCTACTAGATGAACTTAAACTTGCCAGTCTCTCTCTCAGCTTCACCTACCTTATAAGCTTATTGTGATGACTGAACGAAGAGAAGGAGAGTCAGATATAGGGCCCCATGAACTTCGGAGGAAAAGCAGGATGTAAAACTAACTTTAAAACCCTGCTATTAAGTTTGCAGAGTTGACGTGCTTTAGGGTTGAACTATATGTTATAGACAGCCCGTCGTTAGAAGAAGAAGTTCAGTAAATGCGGAAAGCATCTGAGTGTGAGAGAAGGTGCTTTTGCTCCCATTTAGTCATATTTGCATAGGATTCTGTTTGAGTGGAAAACTCTCTCCTCCTCACCCCCCAATAACCCCCTTTCCTCATCTCTCTTTAGGTCATCGCTCCTTGGAGGATGGCTGAGTTTTACACTCGCTTCCAGGGTCGCAGCGACTTGATGGAATACGCAAAGGTGTGTGACTGGCCCCAGTGGTGGCTGTGGGGGGGTTTTATGGTCCAAACAAGTTGTGGTTTCAGGCTATAGATATCCACCTCGTACCTGGGACTCAGTCCCCAAAATTCGGAATTCGGTCCTGAAAACACGAATTCGAGACTCTGACCGGGAGATTCTTCCAGATCCTCAGGCGTGGGCTCGGGGAAACCCGGGATCAAATTTCATTTTGAAACCGGGAGCGTCCTGATCTGGAAAACCCACCCTTTCCCGGACAGGTCTGGCGAGATATCCGAGAAGCAACCTCCGGAATATTACAAAGGCCTCGTTCATCTCCCATCTCTACATCCTGGCTTCAGTTTATTATTCCCGTACAATGAAGGTTTCTTTCTCCACACCGAACCTTTAATTTTCTAACCTTAAAGGGCACTTTGGATTTCAACTTCCCCCCCAATCATACGGTCTCGCTTTGCCGTTACTGCAGCAATTATATACCCAACCCTGCAGGAGACTGATGCTTTTGTCAGGATTTTTTTTTTGGGGGGGGGAGAAAGAAATATAACAATATTTTCCCCTACTTTCTCCCCCGTTTTATGTTTCTTAAAACACACACACACACACACACACCAGTCCATAATTACCTAGCTGCTAATTGTCACCCACTTAAGAGAGAGAAACTTCTCCCACCTCTGCGGCAACCGTGATCGACGTCAGTAAATGCATTTTCTCTTGGTTTCAAACGTCGCCCTTTTTCCCCCCTTTGCTTTTCCATTCTTTTCCTCTCCCCCCCCCAGAAAAAAAAGAACAAGTTGCAATAAAACATATTAGAAGTTTTGCATCAGGTCCCGGGAAGGCGCCCTGGGGGAGCTTTCTTCCATGTCGGCTTTACGGGAAATGCTTGACAAGCGGGTTCAATCAATCAAAGAGGAAAAAGAGCAGTTCTGTGTATCAACCAGAAAATTGCTTTATATATATATATATATAAATATATAAAGCAATTTATATATAAATGCAGCCATCGAAAGCAGCATAGCTAATGACGACCGAGTTAGAAGCGGAGTGTCGCTCAAGATCTGGAAGAGCACGGGGACGGCTGGGTCTCCGTTTTTATTTTCCTTTTTTTAAAAAATAAATCAAAAGCCACTCTCCGCAAACGGTTTTTGTTTTTTTTGGGTCCCCCCCCCCTCTATTTCGCCATCTGTTACTTCGTACTCTAAGAAGGAGCGTTTAATAAGCATCTCCCCGTATGTTTTCAAACAAACAGGCCCAGGGAGCTCCCTCAGTGCGTGCAGGACGTACGCATGTTTGTTCCTTGTTATGATGATGATGATACGCAAACTGGAGAGTGTATTTTCTGCTTTCTTTTGACAATCCTGGGGGTGGGAGGGAGGCAGGAAAAAGGCCCTACGGCCATGGGAAAGGCTTGGGGGGGGCCTTGAAGCCATTAAAATGGACTTAAGGGATGCCCGAGACTTTTCAACCCGTTGGTTAATGGACTAGCAAGTGCAATGGGTCTATTCATGCACAGTTGGGATGATGTTTTGTGGATTCTAAAATGCATTTTTAAAAATAACCAAAGCCCATGCCCTTTGCAGTACAGCAGGACCCCATTTCTGTGGGGAAATTGGTTCCAAGCCCACCCACCCCTCGTGAGTACAGCAGGACCCCATTTCTGTGGGGAACTTGGTTCCAAGCCCGCCCACCCCCCGTGGATGGTGAAAACTGTGGATAATAGCAAACACTATTCTTACCACAAATGCTATACGAGCCACAGCTCTGAACAATGGCTATGTTGTGGTTAGAGATTTTTGCCCCCTATTGGCCAAAGATGGTAACCTGCAGCCACGTTTCAATGGAGGAATCTGCCACCTAGTGACTGAAAATGATACTGCAAGTTACCAATAAATATTATTAGGCTTCACCACAGCAGAGTCCTAACAGAAACTCACCTCTGTTGTCTTTTGTTCTGTTTTCTCCCCTCCACCAACCCCCCCCCGCCGGATCTGAAAGAATACAAAGATGGTATCAGGCAATGCATTCTGGGAATGGGGGTTCCATCAATGGTGTTCCACTCATAGGCCTGGAAGGGACGTCGGCGCATGTGCCAGCTGATCAGCTGGGCGGCGCATGCACCATCCGAGTCCCGAGTCGCAAGCCTCGAGTGGGGGGGCTGAAGACTCAGGCGTGGGTCTTGGTCCTGTGCTTTTGCCAACATTGCTGTTGTCCAGCCCCACTGAAACGGGGCAAAAAACGGCAAAATAAGTAAATGCACAGTTGGAAACTTTTCAGAGGACACTTGAGCCTGGTTGAAGATGCCTGTTGATTCTCGGCTTTCTTTGTGAGACCCAAACTTCACCTCCCTGCCTCTCTCCCCCCCCCTCCGGCCGCCCCATCATCATCCTTGTTTGTCAGGCTGAGAACCATGTCATTGCGACATCGCCTGCTAATTTCCTGCCCGGCATTTAGTCCCTGTGGTTTTTCACAGACCATTTCACCCACAGAAATGTCTCCGGATAATTGAGTGAGCGGGTCGACCCTGTAACAGAGCCGAGGTTTATCACGATCTCGGTCCTGTGGTGGGGAGGGGGCGACAAAGAGCCCGGGACTCTGGGGGGGGTCGTGCAAAAGGCGGAGGGTGTGGAACGGTTAAAAGGATAGTGTTGTTTTGTTTTAAAAAAGCAAAAAGTATATCCCAAATCAGCATCAATTAAAGACCTTTGTGCGGTTCGGTCTTTGCCCTTTATAATACGTCTCGGAGTGCGCTAGTGAGACAATCCGCGCCGGCGGATGAGGAAAGGGGTGGACCACTTTGCGGGACTTGATGCTATTCTGCTCTGCGAATCCTTGCACTTCTGCTGCAGGGGTTCGCAGAGGAATTGAACCAGAAATTCAAAACTCGGCAACGCCGTGCTGTTATGTTCCTGACATTTAATTCCCTCCATGTCTTCCGTATCTTTTCTCCCCTGCAGAAACATGGGATTCCGGTTCCTGACATTTAATTCCCTCCATGTCTTTCGTGTCTTTTCTCTTTTCTCCCCTGCAGAAACACGGGATTCCAGTACCGGTGACCCCATCAAACCCTTGGAGCATGGATGAGAACATTATGCATATTAGGTGAGGGGCTTCTGTGGCTTGATGGGAGGTTGAACATTCCTCTCGCCCAGGATTCTGGTTCCCGCAGGGTACAGCCACAAGATCCTGAGATAACTCTTAAGGATGAGAGGAAGGCAACTGCTCTCTGGTCTTACGTACAATAATGCCCATCCAGGGCATGAAGGATCATTTGGTCCAGAACTTTCCAGATGTCAGACTACAAATCCCATCATCCCTCCCCATGGAATAGGGCTGTGGGAGGTCAAGGCAGATCCCCTCCCAAGGCGGATGCTGAAAACCGTGGATTATAACAAACACTATTATAATAACGGATGCTCTCCATAGCATGGTCCTTAGCTCCCCCTAGTGGCCACTTCTGGCAATGATATCATGGAAATATTTTTTTCTGTAGCAAATAATATAAATAGCACTGCTCCTTAGCTCCCCCTAGTGGCCACTTCTGGTAATGATATCATGGTACCGTCATCTTTATATATATATATATAAAACCGACTGCCTCTGGCTCCCTCTGATGGCCAGTTCTGGTACCATCATCTTTAGATATATAGATATATATATAACCGACGGATAAGTGGATCAGTGGATACTGATTCCGTGGATAAGGGGTTCCTACTGTATATCTTGGCAATATTCTCCATGCATGCAGCTTGCTAATTAATTCTTTTTAAAATCTTCTCTCCCTTCCCTTTATCCGCCCTCCCCTAAAGCTATGAAGGTGGAATCTTGGAGGACCCAAAGGTAAGTCATATTTAACACCGAAACAGCTGGAACTAAGGTAGAGCGGCGCGGGCTTTGTCCCATGGGGTAGCCTTTAGATGGGGGGGGCAACATTTTGCTCCTGGAAGGGCCAGATCCACCTGGCTTGAGCCCCACGCACCACTACCAGTTTGTCTTTCCTGAGCACAATCCGTCACAATCCGGGGGGCGTGAGTTTGGCATGGATATCATGTGCCAGAACAGAACTTTGAACCCTGTCCCCGATTTATTACCTTTAGAGGGAGGCAACATTTTGCTCCTGGAAGGGCCAGATCCACCTGGCTTGAGCCCCACGCACCACTACCAGTTTGTCTTTCCCGAGCACAATCCGTCACAAAACCGGGGGGCGCGAGAGCTTGGCGTGGATATCATGTGCCAGAACAGGTCTTTGAACCCTGTCCCTGATTTTTTCGACAGGAAGGATGCTGAAAGATAAACAGAAAAGCAAGGGGATCTTTTCTGAGCCCGGACGAGCAAAAGCCAAGCATGTGGGGGGTGGGGGAACAGATCTCACTTCCCCAAAAGTTAGACAAGTCATCCCTCCACCCACCGGGATCCTCCTCTTCTAGAACATCCCCGTGACGCTCTGCTGAATGCGGTCACCATGCCTGCTTTTGGCGTCTCAATGGGGCCCGAAGGGTTTAAATATATATACTTAAGCATGTGGGGGGTGGGGGAACAGATCTCACTTCCCCAAAAGTTAGACAAGTCATCCCTCCACCCACCGGGATCCTCCTCTTCTAGAACATCCCCGTGACGCTCTGCTGAATGCGGTCACCATGCCCGCTCTTGGCGTCTCAATGGGGCCAGAAGGGTTTAAATATATATATATATATTTTGCCTGCTGGTCCTCATTGCTTCCGCTTCACGCTCTGCTGGACGGTGCCACACTCGCGGGGGGGGGGGGGGGGATTGGGGGGGCTAAATGAGTTTGAGATGATGATGAGAGGGCTACTGCGAGTCATCAAGCGAGCGTTTCGTTTACGGCCAAAGGAGGGTGCCTGTCGCACCTCTGTATGAGCGCTTTTCGAGATCTGTGTGGCCTCCGCGTTTGAATGCAGGGTTGAGAAGGCCCGGAGGAAACCGCTTTTCCTGATTCTGGGATGGGAGGTTTTGCAATCAGAGCCCTGCTCTTTGAGGACTAGTCACTTGCTGTCTGCTTCCAAGGTAGATCCACGAGTTCCCAGTCTGTATTCTAAAGAGGGCCTCATCCTGGTACGTCTTCACCTCTCCTCCTTGTAAACAGCAGAGGTCCAGAGGGGTGTACGCACGAGCCGTCTAAGGATTCCACCTCGTTTTTTTTGTGACTGTGTGGGTGGGCATTTGTGCGTCCAAACAAAGAGTGAAAGACCACCAGGGACGAACAGCAGGCATGCACGGATTCCGTTTGCGATCCGGTTTGAAGCTTCGGAATGGATCCAGATTTAATCCGGATTGTGCCCATTCCACTGGATTCCCCCGGAGTCATATTGATCGAGGATTTTTGCAAATCAGACCATCGGGAAGCACGAAGCAGCTTGGTTGGGTTTTTTTGCATGAATGTATATAAGCATCATCCTCGTCTTAGGACGGCAGAGTGGGAAGGGACCCTTTGAGGTCATCCAGTCCAGCCCCTGTTAAAGAGGCCCCGGTGTGGGGGGGGGAATCGAACTCCGAACCTCTGGCTCTGCCGCCAGATGCCCTAAACCACTACTGAGCTATCCGTATGAAATTGGGAGACAGGATAAAACAATACCGGACCCATTTTGGACGCCTCGCCTGAGAGTCCTGCCTTTTCGGCCACACTTTCTGGGCAGGGCGAATCTTCGTCAAGGGTAGACCGCTACGGACGGGAACCCGGCGAAACGAAGAGGGCCCAGAGGTCTTCGGAGTCCTCCTCGCTCTCGGCCATCATCCTCTCCCGCAGGCCTCACACGCTCCCTCTCTCTCTCCCCCCCCCAAAAGACCTGCCAGCCGGAGGGATTTCAAAACAGATGGTTGAGCTATTTTCTGCCTCTGTGATGCCTGATTGAAGAGCGATGAGGCAGCTAATGCCGAGAAAGGTAGAAATTTACTTGCTTTAACTTCATATCGCACCCTGAAAAGAGTTCATTCACTCCCAGAAGCAACAATATCAACTTGGATGAATAAACCATTTGAGGCATCGATAGCTGTACATCATGGTTTAGTTCACGCACCATTTGCTAGCAATTTCCACCCCCCCTTTCTCCATGCCCTCTTTCTACGACCCCCCCCAAAAAAGCCTGTCGCCTCGGACTCCCTCCCTCCCTCC